ACTAATCAAGATACTCCTACCAATGGCCATCAGCTGAAAACGAATGGCAGTTGTGAAATATCAACAAAATTTGTATTCATAGTTTATTGATTAGGAATAAAAATAGATACATAGTAAAACAAATCACTTTATTCTCGTAAAACCTCTCCACGTTTAGCTGTTTCCTATTTTACGTTAACACGACGACGTCATGACAACGCACAGATACAAATTTGACATCCTTTAGTGTTTACTATGCTGTTTCCTTTCGAATGTACCACAATAAACACAGAGGTTAAATTTCAGTCTGGCGTAAAAGCATTACACTTCTCATTAAATATATCTTTCCTTATTTAAATATCTTGGTGTATTTTGGTCTCTTGAAAGCGATTCGATTTGTGTATTTTATGAAACGACCAAGGCTGCACGGTCAAGTTTGGAATGGTTACAATCATTCTACAAACCTAATCAAATATCACTATTATGTATAACAAGAACATGGCTATCCAGCCTTCCACGTATTTTTTGTTGGGCCATGCACCCGATAAGTTTATTTAGCAAATTTACTCTTCGTTTTTTTCACATGTATTATAAATATGCTTTTATCTTCTTCTTATACCTACAAGAAGCACATGCTGTAAAATAAGTTTTGGAGTGAGTAACTATATTATAAATGAACCCACATTTAAAAATTATTAATAACTCACTTGTCGGCCATAACTTGACAGATTGATATTGGCTAGGCATGGGAAATTTTTCACTTGTTATGATAAGTAGGCGAATATTGCCAAGTGATTTAATTTGAGGTGCTTTTCATGACATAAAAAGTGAGCAAGGTAGATTTTGACGAAAATGGTTTATATCCAGAGATATAAATTTTTCTGGCGCTCAGATGGGTAAATGTGTACTCTCTTAGAAATAGATGAATTATATTCAAGTCGTGATGCATATTTCTGGTTGTGTAGATCAACCAGGGGCCTAAAACACAGACCTGTATCGTTAAAAGGAGTGGGCGTCGATTTAACTCTGAAAGACGTACGGTATATCAAATTATCACTCGATGATAACAATCTAATCTTTTTGATTTGTATCTTATCTTATCTCAAAATCAATCATAACAACTATTATTTTAGGACAAAAAATATACTTTAGTATCTCAGGCTACAAAAGCTATGATCAAATATTTCATTATTCTGTACTCATGATAGACAACCTAGGAATAAGATGTTGCAAAGTAGGCAAATGGTACGGGTCCAAAAGATACAATTCAAAACCCACTGACTCCAATATTGGTTACTACCTATAGTATTTCATGAGGTCAGAGCTCCTCAACACGCCTTCTTTCGAAAACCGTATTATTCAGACACACAACACGTGGCTAGTACGTGTCAATGAATTCTCCAAGATTCTACACTATCGTGTTACAACAATGCAATTTTTATTTACAACTACATAGCGTGGTATAAGTATAATGTGGGATCGGTGAGCGTGCTAGTCAGACAATCAAAGTAGAACTGTATATGTATCATTTAAAATTGAAAAGGAAAAGAGGGGTGGTCGATCGACCACGGACTTTCATTGAGGACCAATCGACCGGAGTTTAATCTCTACGTAACCGTTACCTAGTATCGTCATCAACTAAAATTTTGTCTGCCGCTCATGCCAGTTGGCTGATAACCACACCCATCCCACGCCTACTTAAAATAACATTGATTGACGAACATACATGGTAAAAAGGATGCTCATTACATACAATAAAATATCTCAAAATTTCCGCATTTTCTTTTACTGGCCACTGGTTCCATCATAGCTGGAATCTGGTATATATATTTGGTGTGTGGTATAAACCAGGGGTCGACATCCTACGGCCCGCAGGTCGAATCTGGCCCGTGACGCTTCACCAAATTATAGTATAACAAAACAGCTGTTATGACGATTATATTCTTTGAGTTTACAAAATTTATTGTGAAAGACGTGTAGACTAAATTATATTACAACCTAACAAGTGCATAATTTATAATTACTCGGTTAACTAGCCTATAATTTAATTAAAGTAAATGTAATGTAATTTGAGAAATGTATCACTGCTTGATTTTTATTATGAAAAATATTATCCGTTCGGATTTCAACTTTCTAAAATGTCCGGCCCGCCAATGACTTGCAACCCTTAATTTTGGCCCGCGAGCGACAAAAGGTTGCCGACCCCTAGTATAAACAATGACGATAAATTTTGTTTCCATGAAAGAGTTTACGGTGTAAGATAACTAAACCCACTAAATGTCAATCAAAAGGTGATGAACGATATTTTACCAGATTGCTATCCAAGCCCGCGGGCCTCCACACCTCTTGAAAATCGTATTCTTTATAGACACAACGCGTGGCGATTTCGTTTCAATAACCGATGTTTATTCGGCGCTCCGGTAGTATTCATACCAAGATGACGCACAACCTGCTAACCCTAACATGGTACACATAATATGTTCAGGCTGTGCGACATCGTGGTACGAATAATACAGGAGCACCGTTTATTCATTGTGTGATGATGTCATTCGAACTGAACAGAAAATTCTAGAGGAGCATATAGGATCAAACAATTTGAACATCGACCAAAGTCCAATCGATATTTACATAACGTTACCCGAAAACGTCGTGGACTGAAATAGTTCCGGTCTATTACTCGGGACAATCGGCGGATAACTACAGTGTAGAAAAACAAGATTGACTGACCACGAGTGGAAAATTACATACATTAGAACAGTGGTCACCAAAGTGTGGGTCGCGACCCCAAGTGGGGTCGCCTTAAATATTTCTGGGGTCGCCGAGTGCCCATCGTTGTCTTTCATTTTATTATTTTTATTATGTGTGTGACTTCTCGGCTCAACGCTAGATACTTCAAACAAAATAATGAATAACAAGCACGCAGGCAGGTAATATCAAGAGCAATTACGATAAATCAATTATGACATCATATTCACAAATTTAGTCCGTGTGAAAAACAGTGTTCTATGACACAAATACACAACAGCTAGCAAGTTTCGACATTTCGAATTGGAGTGACTTCTTTTATAATAAGGCTATTGCGTAACGACAGTAATTTATATTTTAAAGTAAATCGTTATTGTGTCTTAAATGTACTCTGTACAGTGGCCGTTGCTTTTACTGCAAATCCTCATTTTCCAGGCTACCGTCATATTGATAATTACAATTTATTAAATGACTGATAAACATAAAAGAAAAATATCGTATGATCAATCTTTTTGAAAGCTTGACTTTTAGTGCTATGAGTCTGCTAAAATCAAAGCACCGAAATCGATTAAACGTAGAACACGATTTGCGTTAGAGCTTAAACAACATGAAGCCACGATGCAAGATCTTGTTGGAAGGAAGCAGTCGCATTCTTCACACTGATTAAATATGGTTGTTGTTGGGTTCTTTTCATAAATTTCCTAATTTGATAAATATTTTTTTCGTGTCTGTAGGTGAACATACATATATATAACTTGGGGTCGCGAGTGCTTATCATACGTAATAATATTGTAGATGGGTTTAAAAGTTATATTAAATATTAAAAGTTTCAAATTTTATTCACTGATTCCACCGTTAACTACGTGGACAAAGTTCCATAATCTACAATAAAAATTAAGACTGGAATGCGCTAAAAGTCTTGTATTCGTGTAACATTTTTCCACGCCCATGCCATACCTCCAGAAGTTCTGTTAATATAAAGAGGTATACGCATTTTTGCGAGGGTCGGTTTTTAATATTGCGGGACCATAGGCGAAACGGGGGCCTGTAGAAAATTGCGATACCCACTGCGACGCATACCCAGAAGTGATCTAAGGCCTACACAGCGTGCATTAGTTCGCGCACTGCACATAGCTAACTATTTGATAAAGTACTTAATTTAATTCTTACAAATTGCAATTGTTCCACCAACTGATAACAGCGGGTGGAAGTGGTCAACTGTTGTGAAATGACGACAAAATGACATGACGAATTTTGTATGAATCATGGTTTATTAATTAGGAATAAAATGGATACATGGTCCCATATTTTATATACATAGTCTCAGCTTCTAGTTGTAAGAATCCTTGTCGACATCCTGTTGCACCAAGCAGCATAAGAGTCAATTTAAAAGTGTGAGTTAAGATTTTATTTTATCACGTCGCTATTGAAATTAGGATATTTGTTTGTGCGATTGATCAAAGTGATATTTTGAAAACTTGCGTATAATAATGAAATATAGATTATATATTGGACCTAACGAAACTCACACCAAATATTTGAATCATTACCCAAGTGTAGGAAGTGTCGGAGTAGATTTGACACGGTCATGTAGGCCTATGCTCATGAATAAACTTGAATCGATTGTTTGTATATATATTTCAATCATCGATGTCCATTATCATCAACACGCTTATTGAAACTCGTTCCAGTGAGGTAGACCGCTGCTGTAGGGCTTTGTAGAACCGGGGGCATGACTGGTGGTCTACAATCGGTATTCGATTTCGGTATTCGATTCATATATTTAGTTTTACCTACAAGTGTCGAAGACGATCAATTATTTCATTAGCAAATAGTGACATTCTCGTTAGTGAATTTTAATTGCCTTTTTACGACGGTCGTAAATGTTCGGTATAGCCTCCATAGGGTACATGTTTACACACTGAAAGGCATGTATAAATATTCTTCAAACTACCAAACAAGCACGTTATTCATTTACTGTACGGAAGTGATACAAGTGGTCTTTATGACAAAACTTTTGAAAACGTAAATTGTTCTCCAGCTCTAGGCGTGATCATTGTTTTTCTATCTAAGTGTATCCCGATTTACTTTATATTTATTCCCGATCATGCGTAGTTTCATCACCTAACCGTAACGGTTCAAATTATGTAATGTAAACGGACTTCTACGAGTACATTCAAAGTAAATATTTATTCTTTACATCATCTATTCTAATTGGTTTAAAAAACGTACATTTACATTTCGAAAACCACTTTGCGATGTAACAAAGTGTGGTATATAATATATATTGTATAGGTCACATTCGATTCCCCGAGCTCTGTCTGTCGGGAAAAAATGTAAACTTTAAATAATTTATTAAAGTGAAGTCAATATAATTTGAATAAACATAAACTAATATATTTAATACAAACATAGATTGTACATAATTGAAGTCGAGAGAAAATGAAAATTTAATAAAAATAAATTTTTATGCGATATGAGAAAATAGATTGATATATACAATATAACTGTAATCAATATTGCCATGTTTTAAACTTCGTGCGAAAATGGTATTATGTATCCAATTTTATACCTTTTCAAATAACTGCGAGCCCTTCAGCACAACGTAATCATTTAAAATACACATAAGCCTAAATCTTTCTTTGTCTTATTGTAACTGGAAGTTCACACTCAACTAGAAATGTTACCGTCATTGTTGTTGCATTCTTGCAGTTTTGGTATACAACGTCACCAACACGAAGTACCGGTATAGAATATTTTATCCAGTGTATATTAATGTTCATAAATTGTCGTAAATTGCGGATAAATTTTTCCAAATACTTTTTTGTAAGAACGACAGTTAATTTTCATACGCCATTGCTTTGAGTATAATCGATTCTACAGTTTGGGCAGGTTTGAACATTTCTTTCGCAATCAAGGCACAAAACTGGAGATGAATAGCAGCAGAGAAATGAAGCCTTAGCTGGACGAACTCCACACGATATACAGGTTACTGGCTTGGGTGCTGATGAAGTTGTTTTGGTGGCATTTGACGGCAATTCTATGATATTCACGATGTTTGACTGCCTGAAAATTACAAAATTGTTATACATTTTTACATACAAACCATGAAGTGTTTTTGGAGTATTAATACTTGTCACTGATGAGGTATATCGGCTTATTTCTTTGATAAATATATTCAAAAATTGATTATATTTATAAACTACATGTGAATAAAGTTACGGGAATTGGTCTGTCAGCCTAAATCGCTAATCATTGGCAAAATAGGTGCGAATGATTACTTGACCCAATGTTCACAGACTTCACCCGCAATACATAATATGTGGCAACACTATAAAGCTTCCTACCAAGTTTAAACCATCTTATAAAACAATTAATCCGAGCGAGTTCAATAAAATTTCAATGAATAGATACTATAGTATGAAAAAGTGGGAATTCCCACCAACATAATTGGTTCACAACGTTTTCTACTCTTTCCACCCGTTCGGTAGGTGATTATCCTTTCCACCTTACCACATTCCCTCCCACATGTGTAAAAATCGAAATCCACCCCGAGGTGTAGCAACATAATTCCACCAAATTGATGGAAGCGCCAACTACTCCAGCAGACCCCCCCCCCCCTCCCTCCAAATTAAGAAACACATTTACAACATAAACATTAAACAAAAACAAATTTTTGATATTTGCACAATTTATTATGATAGGGATTTTGTACAATTTATATTGATAGTATTATTGGTCGGCATAATGCGACCGAAAGTCTCGAAATCCCCAAAAATGCAACCCATAAATTTATTAAAGGAAGAAGCTACATGCGGTTGACCCCAAAAAATGCAACACATAAATTTATAGAACGGAATAATCCGAATGTCACGAAAGAAAGAAGCTACATGGGGTTGACCCCAAAAAATGAAACACATAATTTTATCAAAGGTCACGAAAGAAAAAAGCTATATGGGGTTGCCCCCAAAAAATGCTTTATCAAACGGAATAATCCGAACATCACAAAAGAAAAAAGCTATACGGGGTTGACCTCAAAAAATGAAACACATAATTTTATCAAACGTCACGAAAGAAAGAAGCTATATGGGGTTGACCCCAAAAAATACTTCAATCGAACGGACTAATCCGAACGTCACAAAAGAAAAAGTCTATATGGGGTTGACCCCAAAAAATGCAACCCTGAATTTATTCGACGGAATAATCCGAATCGAACGTCGCGAAAAAAAAAACTATATAGGGGGTGATCCCAAAAAATGCAACCCATAAATTTCTTGATTACTTCTACGAAAATGAATCATTTAATTTCCTCCACACTTAAACTGTTCATGTACGATCATTTTTTAAATTTAGGACGCCTTGTTCAAAAGTTACGATCTCCTCAATTAGGTTCCGAATCAAATCCTTGGCATTAGAGACTTGCATCTGTCTCCAATGCCCAGGACAACATTTAGAACATAGTCTAGAAGTAACTTCCTGCATTTCTGAAACTTTTGCATACAATCAAATACAAAAAATCCAAATGTACGAAATTGAATGCTTTAATCCAGGGGTGCACAACACGGGGCGGCACGCATGCCAAATTTGGCACGCCATACGCTCAAATGTGGCACACGAACAGTTTTGTAAAAAAATATTCATGATATAAATGAAAACATCACGTTTATATATATATATATATATAATATATTCCTTATTATGTATTATTATTGAAATTTGTCTGTTTTACAGAGTTAATTTACAATACCAACAATTGCGCGTGGCAAGCGACAAGATTATTTTGAAAAATTTGACACATGTCCCCATTTGAGTTGTGCACCCCTGTTTTAATCCATCTTCGTAGAAGTAATGAAGAAATTTACGGGTTGCATTTTTGGGTCAATTTGTTACTACAGTTTGTTCACAAGTTTTACTACAGCCATTGGCAGTTCTGCGTTTGGCAGATGCAGCAAATACGCCGCCATGAAACCCAAGCTCTTTTTCTTGCCTTTTGGAATTACTAAATTGAAAACCCAATAGCAAGATATCATTGCTGCAATGGCTTCAACGTAATTGGAGCTTTCTCGAATTTGGCAGCCATCGATCCATACTGTTATCTGCTCATCTTCAGAATTCCGAGCCACAATAACTGGATATGGAGTGCTTACACTCTACAAATACAGAAAAAATTGATTAGAGTTGTAGCAGTGGGGAAAGGTTTGTTGAGTTTGTTAACTTGAACAAATTCAATAAAAAATATTTCCGGTTAATTTTTGAAACTATGGAAAAATGGCAAGAAATACCTTTTCTAATACTAGCTCATCCTCATTCCATAAAGAGGGCAAAGTCATTAGCCAGCATATTTCTTCTTCATCTGAAACAACAACCAAATTACTATTAAATGATACTGTCGGGATGACATGATGACATATAAGACTAGTATAAATATTTACAAAGTTATTATGAACATGTCTGCACAACTGGGCATGTGAGTTAGGCCCATCCTAAATGTTCATAGCACATTTTACACACTGTCACATGACAAATGTTGTAAGAATGTGCTCAATCACTTCTCCATGTGTTATTGAAAACAAATGTGTGCCATTGGACTAGTATAGAATATGCAAAATGAAAAAAAAAAACTCGCCTATTAATCGTTTGACTAGGCTCGGTATTTTCTGCCATTTCCCCAATGATAGTTTTTTCAGGCGGCGAATGACTGCTATAGTGTTCTCTGAGGAGAGTTGCTCAACGATCTTCACGTTACACAACATGTTCATCTCCTCAAGTATCTATAACAATTACAAATTGAGGCCTCAATGATCTTATTTTCTGCTGATAGATGACAACAAAAAAGGCATCTGATAGAATAAACCGAAAAACTCAATAAAAATATGTAAAAACTCCATAAACGAAAAACAAAGCCAAAACTGCACAAGCCTAATTTGTTAAAGATTTGAACAATATTTCTAAAATAAAACTAACCCATTTCGAAAGTCCAAGGCAAGGATAATCTGTAAGTACATCACATGTTGACTTGCCATGAACAATGTCAAGCCGTCTCCTGTTTGAGCAACGAGCCATTCTGTCACGAATGACATCATCTGATGCTTTCTTCTTTTTCATTTCTTCTGCTATTATTTTTTTATGCTTGTCAAGGCTATGGTCGTCTTCTTGTTCAGTGTCACATACAACCTAAAAAGTTATCGGGTTTGAGTCAATAATCATGCATAGCATGCTATGTTGGTTTAGTAAGCAGGTTTTATAATGCCATTCAAACACCAACTCATGATATTAAATAGGGCTAGTTCTTGTATCAAAAAGGCTGACTTGGGAATAGAGCCTACCAGCACATTCAGTAATTAAGTTATATACTAGATTCAAAAATCTGCAATGTAATAAAATATATTGAAAGCGCTCGCCCATATATATATGCCTACCCGGAAATACAGATACACAGACTAACTCAATGCTGAAATAATTACCGTCATTAACATCAAATATAGGGTTGCAAAATTTTTGGCAACTCACTGATTTCATTGTCTGCGACACAAGTAGTTCACAATATGTAGTTTTTTTTTTATGTTTCCATAGATTGCGGTACGCTCAAAATTCAATATGCATGCGGCAAAAAGTATTAGCAGAAAAAGCCGACGAGTTGTGGCAAAATACGCTAGTACAACACATGCTGCTGATGTTGTGAGTGATCAGACAGTGCGAAGATGTTTACGGGATATTTCGTGAATGGCATTTAACGAGATTTCGCTATTGCACTTTTTTAGAGACGAGGTTACGTGGTCGAAGTTTAACAAATGTGGCCCCTTAATCTTATCTCAACTATTCTTTTAAATCAAAAAAGACCTACTACACTTGGGCTCCGCAGAAAGCTGCATCTGCTTGAAACTGAAATATTGCTATCTGACTCTACAGCTATCTTTTGCCTTTTTGAGCCATACTTGGCTCTCATCTCTTCATGGAAGACGTCATCTTGTACTGATCTTCTATAATCTTTAAATTTCTGACTGATGCTGGAAGTCCAAGATGCCTGTGCAAACACGAAAACTATGTGAACTTCCTATCTCTATTCATAATACTACTGCAAACTCCTTAAAACTTTTAACTGGTCTTGCACACAACCTTGTTGAATGAAACACACAGTAAGATTGACACAGTGATCTCGAAATATCGGAACTAAAAGTGTCAGTTATCCCCTAGCCCTGACATCCTATATACTTTCACAAACCCAGTCCCTGAATAGTACTAATTACCTCAATTTTACATAACATACATAACTAGTTTCCCTAAATCTTATCTTTCTTAAATGAATAAAAATACTTCAAACACCAAATCACCCTAGCTGAACACTTAATTACGCACATAATAGCATCCTCTACTGGCAAGTCTGTCGCGTAGGACAGGATACGTTTTCACAAGCATGCTTCCGACCTCTTGGTAGTTGCACGGAGCTGGATACCTGCAACAAAAAAACGCGTAAGACTGCGCTAGTGTAATTCAAAAGGTGCCTGGATTAGCGTTTTTTTAACAACTTTGTCACTCAACTCAAACAATTAATTTGATATTGTCATCATATTGAATTATGAAACATCTAACACTGACTAAAGGAATGAAATAAACAAGGAACTTCACCTAAAAAATTTTGAATCAAATTATAAATAAACCGTGACCATTCGATTGCAAGACAAAAATATACCTTCATTTAACTTGCAGTATCCTGGAATAAAAAAAGTCCTCTAAGGTTTATTTACACTCATTTTACGCAATACAAAATTATTTCAAGAACAATTTGTCTGAAATCATTGATTTCGCTATTTTTTTCGTATTGTTGCGAGCCAGATGAAAGAATGACACAGGCCGGATCTGGCCCGCCCGTAGTTTGGTGATCTCTGGCATAAAATAACTACACTGTACTGTACTCACATAGTGTAACTTCTCATTTTGTTAAACAGTATGTTTATAATTTCCTTCCTTATATTTTTCTGTAATGGCATTTTATCATCACTTTTAAGCTCATTCAGATGATGCTTTATATGTCTAGGAAGAGTAGGCAAGGTGAATGTCATGGGCCA